TTTTTTTTTTTAGGTTTACATGTTGGCAGGAAATATGTGTGTCTTAATCTGTTCAGGCGGCTGTAACAAAATACCACAGACTGGGTGGCTTTTAAACAACAGAAATTTATTTCTCGCAGCTCTGGAGGCTGGGAAGTCCAAGGTCAAGGTGCTGACAGATTCACTGTGTGGTAAGGGCCTGTCTCCTAGTCCATAGATGTCTTTTTGCTGTGTCCTCATGGCAGGAGGGGCCAAGGAGCTCTCTGGGGTCTTTTTCATAAGGGAGGGTTCCTTTCTGATCCCATTCAGGAGGGTTCACCTTGTCACCCCCAACCACCCGCCAAGGCCCCGCCTCCAAATACCGTCACCTTGGGGTTAGATTTCAACCCATTAATTTCGGAGGGACACAGACTTTCAGTCTACAGCATCCCATCAGCTTCCTGTCCTTTCGTGCAAAATGCATTCTATTCCAATAGTGCCCAAAGTCTTAACTCATTCCAGCATCAACTCGAAAGTCTAAATCTGAGGTCTGGCCTACAGACCATGTAGATCAGAGGTGGGAGAGACCCCAGGTGCAAGTTCCTGTCCAGCTGGGAACCCGTGAAACCGAACAGGTTATGTGGTGGAGCCCCCACGAACGGGATGGGTGCCCTTGTAGAAGAGCCCCCAGGGACCCCCCTCCCCTTGCCTCATCGAGGCCACAGGGAGAAGACAGGATCTGTGAACCAGGAAGGGGGTGCCCACTAGACGCTGGATCTGCTGGCGCTAGACTTCCCAGCCTCCGGAACGGTGTTAAACACACTTGTGTTGTTTAAGCCACCCTGCCTGTGGCATTTGGTTACAGCAGCCCGAGAGGGCTAAGATAATTTTGTACTGTGAAAAGTTTCCTTTCTCCCATCTACACGGTCTCAGCCCCTGCCCCTGACCTTCCGCCCTTGTTCTGACTTTCTTACGTGTCCCCCAGCTTTCTCTCTGCCTGCGCAGCGAAGATGCTTTCTGCCCCGCCCATGCGCACCCAAAACATGACATATTAGACACACCGTTCTGCGCCCTGCATTTTTCAATTAACAATAGAGTTTGTAGATCTTCCCATGTCAGTATATCTTCCTTGTTCCTTCTTAGCTCTGGGTGATAATCCATCATGTAAATGTACCATAGTTTATATTCAACAGTCTCCATTTGACGGGCATATGGATTGTTTCCAATCTTTTACTACAACAAATAATGCTGTAGTGAAAAACCTTGTATGCCTGTGAGTGTATCTGTAGAATAATTTTCCAGAAGTAGAGTTTCTTTGTCAAATGGCATTTGCATTTAATATTTGATAGATGTTCCTTGGCTTTGATTTGGGGGAAGGGCATTTCTCTCCTCTTTTGATTCTTTGAAAGGCAGTCCTAAGGAACAAATTGAACAGTATTCCTGCCAGTAAATACAAATGTGTTCCTTCCATCACACATTGAAGCTTTTCCAAAATGATCTAGGGTACTTACTGGATTCGTTTATTGGGCAAATATTTATTAGTTTATCCTTCCCTCCTCCCTCCTCCTTGCCTTCTTCCATTTTGTCTCTTATTTTTTTTAAAGACTTTATTTATTTGGGAGAGAGAGATTGAGAGAGAGAGAGAGCATGAGCAGGGGGAAGGATAGAGGGAAAGGGAGAAGCAGACCTCCCGCTGAGCAGGGAGCCCCCACACAGGGCTCGATCCCAGCACCCCGAGATCATGACTTGAGCTGAAGGCAGACGCTTAACCGACTGAGCCACCCAGGCACCCCTGTCTCTTATTTAACAAATATTGGGAGATGGATTATGGGCCAGGCACATTCTAGGTGCTGGAGAAACAATGGTGAACAAAACGGACAGTCCTTGCTCCCCTCATGTCCCCACTCAAGGGGGATGAGGAAGACCACAGACAGATGTGCAACCAAGGACTTCCAACTAGTGATAAGTCACGTGGAAGAAATAAAACAGGGGTGTGTGATAGTCTGTAAAAGAAAAGAACTGAATAAAAAACATCGTTCTTCCTTGAGGGACTTACCAGCCAGTCAGGAAAAATAAATACACATCACAAAACTATAGAGCAAAACACGGTGTGCACCATTGATGAATGCTGTGGGAGGCCACACAGGGTCCTCAAAGTCTGGCAGACCTGGGTTCTGACTGCTGGTTGACTCCTTATTGGCTGGGACTTTGGACGACCCCTTGACCTTTCTGAGCTCGGTTTCTTTATCTGTATAGCTGGGAACCTCCTGTGCAGAGGGTTTGGAAGGCTAGGAGATGACATTTGTATGTGCACATTGTGGTATTGGGCACAGTGCTGAGGTGCTAGTGCCTGGTCCCTGGCCTTATTGGAGTATGCTACTTCTCAGGGTGAGGAAGAGGGCTTATGTCTATCTGTCTGGGAGGGTCGGAGGAGACTTTCTGGTGCAGGGCACACGGTAGTAGAGCTTGGAGAACCATGAAGAAATGGAGAGATTTGTAGTGGGAGGACACAGCGGAGTTGTAGCGGGGAGGAAATGGGGGTGTTGGAAGAGTTTACTTTGGGATTTATGACTTGCAAAGGTGGGGATGGGAGGAGGGCGCATGAAGGGTGGAGAAGACTAGGCGGGAAGGAGGACCGTGGCCAGGCCATGGGAGGATGCCGACATGTGGGGGGCTACAACTTCCCCTGCCAGGCTGGGGAGCCCTGAGAGGCTGCTGGGCAAGACTAGCATCATGGAAAGTTGTGCATTGGGAATGCGGTTCAGGAAGGTCTGCCGGGCAGAAGAATGAGGGGTGATGACCTGATAGGCCAGTTAGGAGACCACTCTGGGTCATGGGGCCCGAACGCGGGAGGCGCTGGGGACAAGGGAGAGCGAGATACGGTTGGATGCAGGGGCCGCTGAGACTTCTGCAATGACTGGAGGCATCCAGTTTGGATGGTAGCGACACGACTGACAACATGGGAGTCGGAAGAAACAGCTGACGGCCCCGTGGTGGCAAGTAGGACAGACTGAAGTGGGCGAGGATCGGGACAGGGCAACTCTTTTGCAGGAGGCTCTTTTCCCAGCCTCCGGGACTGAAGAACGGAGAGGTGGCACTAGGGGGTAGAGGGGCCTCAGGCCTGTGTCAAGGGAAATGCCTCTCTCTGCGGTCAGGACAGCCGCTCCGTAGACCCACCCTGAACGTCCGCAGCAGGACACGAGGGCCACGTCTGTCCCTGTCCCCAGAGACTCCCAGAGACTGCACGGGCTTGGGCTCCCGTGAGGAGTCGAGAACTAGGAGCTCCGCCTTCAGAGAATGAGTCCCTGGAGGAGAAACTCTGATCCAGGGAGGCAGAGTTGTGACTGTTCCGCTTAGTGACAGGCCGGGAGCAGGCAGCCCTGCTGGGTCGGTGCCAGGCGGGCGTCTGGGTTGGCTGCACCCCGCGCACGTCCCAGGCGGGCGAGGCGCGGGCAGAGCCGTGGTGGGAATCGGCCCTTCCGTCGGGCAGCCTGGCCGACAAACAGCCGTGGCCGTGAGCGTGTTGTAAATGTGGAGTGATTTCGCATGAATGCAGAATTCAGGGCTGTCAGGTCCCGCATCTCCAAGCATCTCCAAGAAGACGGTGTTGCGGCTCTCAGCCCACAGGGACCTTTTCCTTTGCCGATATCGCACTCAACGCTGTTCAGTTTGCCAAATGATAGATGACCTACCGCGCTCTTAAAAATTTTCTTAAACCACAGGATTTTAACATCAATTTGGAACCACCATCCATTATGAAACAAAAAAGCAAAAAAAACCCCAAAAGTCTGTGTTTTCTGGCAATCTTGGCATTCATGCATTCATTCACTCATTCACTCATTTTTTTTCAGCCAGAACTCATTTACCATTTGTGCGAGGTCTTGTGCCAGGAGCTGCATGGAATTATCATTATTCTATTGGTTTCATCTAGAAGGGATTTTTCAAGGGCTTCCACAGACCCTCACGGGTCAGAGATGCTCAGAAATTACAGGCAGACCTTTGTGTGTGGGCGGGGACGGGTTGGGGGAAGTGTGTGCAGTGGTACTGGGAGAAAATCCCGCCCTTTTCATGAGCTGCTCAGGGGGCCTGTGGACACATTCTGGACCCTGATTACCAAGCCTGGCTTCTGGCTGAAGTCTGCTTCAGTTTCTTTCCCACCCAGCGGCCCGAGACTGCTTGCCTAATTGGGGTATTGGTGCACCCCACGCTCACTGCCACATTATTCACAATAGCCAAGAGAGGGAAGAAACCTAAGTGTCCACCAGTGGATGAATGGATAAAGAAGGTGATCACACGGCCCCTGGCTCAGAGGCACTTTTGTGATTCTGAGTAGTTTGGAGGCAAACTGTTCAGTGTGCCCCAGGAAACCTGGACTTAAGTTTTGGCAAAGCCATTGGAGAAGCCCAGTAACCTCTCTAGGCTGCAAGTTTTCCTCTTTTGTAAAACAGAAGAGCCGGCATAGCTGTTGGATGATGATGATGAACATTTACCGAGTTCTTACAATGCTCTGGGGCCAAGCGCACTTAACATTCATATTCTCCCTATTTAACAGCTGGGGCATCCACACCCCAAGAGAGGGCTCCAGCCAACACCTCTGGGAGGCGGCAGCTCTGGGTCCAAACCCAGGTGAAGCTGCTACTGTCACGGCTTTGGGATCTGTTCTCTGTCTAGACACTACGACCCTTATTATTGTCATCATTATTTGAATTAGTCACGGTCTGCACCGCTTTGTTAAAAATATTTTGAACACTGCCCTTCGCTGTCTTTCTTTCTGCTTTCAGGGGCCAGAACACCCGAATCCTGGGAAGAGTTTCAGCGCCCGTGGCTTCCCACGACACTGCTACCTTCCGGACAGCGAGAAAGGGAGAAAAGTAAGAGCAGGCGTCTGGGTGGGGTGGGGGAGGATTTACTTCTGTGTCAGGGCCCCAAGTTTTGCTTCCTGCCATGCACAGACTAAAAAGAGTGGGGTCTCTTTTTACTCTAGATGCACAGGGTAACAAGGTCATATTTGAGTCAGCCATAGGTAAGGGTAGATAGGATTAGAATTTTTTCTCTTGCAGGGTGGTGGGGGTACGGCTCTTTCTTCTCCTGGATAATACCGGCAATAATTGATCTATTTTAGGATCCTTTCTCTCAGGCTTTGCTGCTTAGCAGCTGGTCCTGGGACCAGTACCGGGGGCCACACCTAGAAGCTTGGTAGAAGTGCAGAACCTTAGAACCTACTTCATTTTAACAAGATCCCAGGTGATCTGATAGCACATTAAAGCTTCAGAGGCACCGCCTTGCGGCAGGGATCTTAATGTGGGGGAGGTTACTTTTTTATAATGTACTTTTGTATTCTCTGACTGTCCCAAAAAGGCAGAGGGAAAAAAATCACTGGGTTTCTGGATTCCCAGTGATTCATGGTCAGGCTTCAGTGGTTCTATGAATTGTAAAGTTAGAATGAAGTTTTTATGTTCATTTTTCTGTGGCAAAGGCCAGAAAATCATTGGATTTTCAAAACCTTCCCTAACCTCAAAAAGGATAAGAACCATAGATCTAGGGGGTGTTATGCCCCTTGTGGGGTGCTAGGGTGCAGTGCTGGACGAGAGGTGGATTTTATTTTATTTTTTAAGATTTTATTTTATTTATCTGAGACAGAGAGAGTGAGAGAGAGAATGAGCAGGGGGAGGGGTGGGGCAGAGAGAAAGGGAGAAGCAGACTCCCCGCCGAGCAGGGAGCCCGATGCAGGGCTCGATCCCAGGACCCTGAGATCATGACCTGAGCCGAAGGCAGATGCTTACCGACTGAGCCACCCAGGTGCCCCAAGAGGTGGATTTTAGCTAGCTTTCTCCAGGTCATGCTGTGTAACAAACAACCTCAGTCTCAGAGGCCGACTTCAACAAACGTTTATTTCTCATGCACTTTGCATGCCAGTGGCTGTGGCTTGTTTGCTGCTTGAGTCAGCTCAGTCTGCTCCATGGGGCTCCATGCCCTGGAATCCAGCTTGAAGGGGCGGCCCTTCTGTGATCTATGCCCTTCCCATGGAACTGGGCCGAGGACCAAGAGAAAATCCAAGTGGAATGGTACAATCCTACTAGAGTTGCCCCTGAAAGCTTGTTGCTCCTACTCACATTTCACCAGCCTTGGGCACTATGCAAGCAGTGGGGTCGTGAACTGCCTACAAGGGGCCCCTTGGGTCCCACGGCAAAGGGTATGGATATGTTCTCCTCTTACAGAGGAGAAAGCAGATCGTTTGGAACAATGAGAAAATCAACCACATCGTGAAGATGTGCCCAGTGCAAGGTCCTCAGATTAGGAGTCAGGCTTAGTCCTGATACCTGATTGCCCTGAATAGCCCCAAATCGGTACCTGAGCCCCAGATCGACTGTCCCAACTGCTGGCTAAACATGTCCACTGTGAAGTCCTACTGCTAAAACTTGAATCCTCTTGCCAAGAGATGCTCCTCTTCCATGCCTCCTTTCCCATGTTAATGACATACCCAGGATCCCTGGGACCCAGATTGGACACGTTAGTGGACCCTTGCTCTGAACGACACCCCACTTGGGGCATTTCCCTGTGAACTGCCCGCTAAATTGACTCCTTTTCTAATCCTGCCACTCCCAACCTAGTAAATCCTTTCATCTTTCACCTGCTACCAGGTTAAATATCCTTTTTTTTTAAAAGTAGGCTCCATAAAAAAAAATAAAAATAAAAAAAGTAAAGTAAAGCTCCATGCCCAGTGTGGAGCGCAACACAGGGCTAGAACTCACAACCCTGAGATCAAGACCTGAGCTTTACTCTAGATGCAGTCTTAACAGACTGAGTCACCCAGGCGCCCCACATGTTAGATATCCTAAAGCACGGTTTCTAGCATCAAGCTTTTTTGTTGAGAAGAAATAAAGTAGGAAAAAAACCCAAAAAATTGTTTTGATGTCTTTCCCTTCCTTCTTTACAATGTACAACCTTCTCAGCTTGGCATATAAGACCTACTACAGTGTGGGTCTAAACCTTCCCCTCATACTAATTCCTCACCTTTATCCTTCATTTGTCTGCTGGTCTGGGGCCCTAACCTGGGCTCTTGCACAGCAAGGTAATAAAGAGCATGGGTTTGGGGACCAGACTGGCTTTGGTCCGAGTCCTAGTTTTGCAGTTTACCAGAAGTGGGGACTGGCATAAAGATGAACATTCTGAAGTCTTAGTTTCCGGATCTATAAAACAGCGGTGATCATTTCTATCTGCATGGACAGGATGTTGTAAAAATTAAATGAAAGTAGCATTTGTAAAATGCCCAGCGTGGTGAAAACTATTGTTGTAATTACACACGCTTCAGCTCATATTTATTTACTGTGTCTACATGTCCTTTTCTACTGATATACAGTTGACCCTTAAATAACTCAGGGGTCAGGGGAGCTGGCCCCCATCCTCCTGAAGTTGATATCCACATATAACTTTTTTTAAAAAGATTTATTTATTTGAGAGGGAGGGAGTAGAGAGGGAGTGGGGGGAGGGGCAGAGGGAAAGAATCCTCATGCAGATCCTCCACTGAGCACGGAGCCCTACACAGGGCTCCATCCCAGGATCCTGAGATCAGGACCTGAGCCAAAATCAAGTCGGACAGTTAACTGCCTGAGTCACCCAGGAGCCCCTCCACATAAAGCTTTTGACTACCCCAAAACTTAACCAGTAATAGCCTACCATTGACCAGAAGCCTTGCCGATAACACAAGCAGTCAATTAACACATATTTTGTATGGTATGTGTATGACATGCTGTATTCTTACAATAAAGTAAGCTAAGCAAAAGAAAATGTTATTAAGAAAACTGTAAGTGCTGTCCTGTAAAAGTTTTTATAGGACTGTAAAAAAAAAAAAAAGTCCGCATATAAGTGGACCTGAGCAGTTCAAACCCGTGTTGCTCAAGGGTTAACTGTATTCACACCCTCCTCTCCCTCCGATACTCGGTTCAAAAGCATCTTCCTCCCTGAAATCTATACAGATTCGCATCTGAGAGTCAACAGAGTAGTGATTCAGACCATGGACAGGCAGTGAAGTCAGGCAGTCCTGAAGTCAAGGTCCCCCTCTGCGCTTGCCTGGTGTATGACCGGGGCAAGTCTTATTCTGCTGAGCTTCTTCATCTGCAGAAAGGGGATTAAGGAGAATACCTGTTGTATCTGATTGTTGTAACTACTACATGACCCAGTGCTTGCTACTTGTAAGTGAACACTCAGGGGAGGTCGATCATATTTCTAACGTATGCTGTTGTTATTGTTTTGACTGTTATAATTTCCCACCTCCAGCCCATACCATGTTGACGGTAGTTCTTTTTTTTTAAGATTTTACTTATTTATTTGACAGAGAGAGACACAGTGAGAGAGGGAGCACAAGCAGGGGGAGTGGGAGAGGGAGAAGCAGTCTTCCCGAGGAGGAGGGAGCCCGACACGGGGTTCAATCCCAGGACCCCGGGACCATGACCTGAGCCGAAGGCAGGCGCTTAATGACTGAGCCACCCAGGCGCCCCAGTGTTAATAAATCTTAAAAAAAAAAAAAAAAAGAGGGCGCCTGGGTGGCTCATCATTAAGCGTCTGCCTTCAGCTCAGGTCATGGTCCCAGGGTCCTGGGATCGAGCCCCGCATCAGGCTCCCTGCTCCACGGGAAGCCTGCTTCTCCCTCTCCCACTCCCCCTGCTTGTGTTCCCTCTTTCCGTCTCTGTCAAATAAATAAATAAAATCTTTAAAAGAAAAGATTTATTAATACTTATTTTATTTTTTATTTTTTTATTTTTTAAAGATTTTGTTTATTTTTGACAGACAGTGTACAAGCAGGGGAAGCAGCAAGTAGAAGGAGAGGGAGAAGCAGTCTTCCCGTGGAGCAGGGAGCCTGATGCAGGGCTCGATCCCAGGACCCTGGGATCATGACCCGATCTGAAGGCAGACGCTTAACCGTCTGAGCCACCCAAGCGCCCCTTATTTTATTTTTTAAAGATTTTATTTATTTATTTGTCAGAGAGAGAGAGAGAGCACAAGCAGGGGGAGCAGCAGAGGGTAAAGCAGGCTCTCTGCTGAGCAGGGAGCCCGATGCGGGGCTCAATCCCAGGACCCTGAGATCATGACCTGAGCCAAAGGCAAACGGTTAACTGACTAAGCCACCAGCCATCCCAATACTTTTTATTTTTCAGAGAGAGAGAGAGAGAGAGCAAGGGGAGGGGCAGAAGGAGAGGGAGAGAACAGATTCCCCGCTGAGCATGGAGCCCATCTCAGGGCTCGATCTCAGGATCCTGAGATCATGGCCCAAGCCGAAATCAAGAGTCGGACGCTCAACCGACTGAGTCACCTGGATGCCCCATGGTAGTTCTTTTTTGAATCCAGGGCATTTACATCGGGTGCTTTCTTCATGCTGGATAGGATGTTAGGCAGTTGTCTTACCCAACAACGAATTTTTTTTTTTTTAATTTCGCTGAATTAGAACATTCTGCAAGGCCTAACACCTCACTGGGCGTCACTTATAAAATAGAGACGATAATAGCCCCTGCCAGATCTGCCTCCAAGTGTGCTCGTGAGGACCAGGGGAGCAGATACATATGAAATAGCCTGGTAGAGGTCACAGCACTTCAACCACGTCCCTGGAGAACTATGGCACGTCTGTAGCTGCGTGTGCGCTAATACCCGCTTCGGGGAGGGCGTGGTAGCGAAGGCACAGCTTCCGAAGCTCTGGGATCGTAAGTGCCTTGAATTCCTAGGTCCTATCTTTTAGCCGTGATGTTGGTAGCTAACGTTTGTTGAGTAGTGCGTGCCAGTCCCTACTATGAAAGCGCTGGTAACATTTAGCAGATCACAGCATTGCCGTTTTATAAGTAAGGAAATTAAGGCTCAGAAAGGTGACATCATTTGTCCCAGTTCCCACAGTTCACTGGTGACAGAACCAAGACTTGCGCCTCCCTGACACCACACCCAGACTCTTGCTGTTCACTGTGCCGCTTGGGGCATCATGACTCAAGAAGAGGTGGACCTTTGGGAAGACTCTGCCGTCCAAGGCGTCGTCTTTGACCGGCACTAAGTGTCTGCCTTTGGTCTCCTGCCTTGACTCGCTCAGGTGCTGAAGCTGCTGCTCGTGGCCTGGGATCGGCGCCTCATCTTTGCCATTGGTACCTCCAGCACCACGGGCGAGTCAGATACCGTCATCTGGAACGAGGTCCATCACAAGACAGAGTTCGGCTCTAATCTCACAGGTCACGGCTACCCAGACGCCAATTACCTGGATAATGTGCTGGCTGAACTGGCTGCCCAGGGCATTTCGGAGGACAGCACTGCCCAGGAGAAGGATTGAGCTGGGGGGGGAGGGGGGTCTTTGGGCCAGGAGGGGCTGTGGGGACCACAGGGCAGGAAGCGGGAGAATCAAGGTGGAAGTCGGTGCCATGCCCTCCCGACTCCCTCATTTCCCCTTCTGTCCTATCCCCATCCCCCATCCCCCCTGGCCACAGCGGGGAGTGAGATTGAGTAAGGTGACGTCATTCATAAACCTCATCCGCCACAAAGGGGACAAGGGATGAGGGCCATCCTCGGTCTGTTCCCATGGAGTTTTCGGTGCTGGGTAGGCAAGAACCCCCCCACCCCCCTAAGTAGGGGGCACGGTCAGCACACTTAGGGTATGGACAGTGCGTGGGTACTCCATACCCTGGCCTTGTGAAGCCTGAGATTCAGTACCTCAGCTGGCTTCTTGCTGCTTCCACTCTCCTTTGAGAGCGGAGTTTCTGCTTTTCTCTCCTCCTCTGGAGGCGAGGAGCTCTCACTGTGCAAGACTGGGGGGCAAAGGGGTGAACCGCTAAACTGCTGTGACATCAGAAATCAATGCCTCTGTGTACAGCAAGGAAGCACTTCTCACCAAGAGGGTCAGGGAGGCAAAGGCTTCTGGGAGCACATTTAGCTCTCATAACAGTCATTGGCTTCTCTGGGCCCTCCCTCCTCACATTTTTGACCTGTCCAAAGAGGCAGCTGGTTCTCTTGTGTGGATGGATGGACTCTGGGATTCCTCTCTGGGGTGGCATCCCATGATGTTTCCAGCCCCTCTCTGATCAGACCAGAGTCTGCATCCCACTTAGCATCTGAACTGTCCTCAGGGAGAGGAGCCCAAAGCCTTCTTCCCAACTCATCCCAGACCAGCTCAAAGATTCCATGAGTTTCATCAAGTCACTGTGAGTAGAGCCCACGGGGCTCTGTGCCATCTGTTTGTGCATATATATGTGTGTGTGCCTGTATGCACCACTGGGCCAGGTTGGTGGACAGTCCCATCCTGTGTTCCCATTCTGTTTTGCAAACTGTCAAACTCCAGTTCTGATGGGGATCAAACAATCAAGCTGTGGTTCCTTAACTTTCCTCACCCTTTGCAACCCATCCCATAGTAAACTTGGACCCAGATGGTAACAATCATGCATCTTGCCAGATGCCCCAAGGAACTGTGCTTGGTAAGAAGTGTAAGATGAGGGCTGGACTGACCCCTTTTTATATCTCTTTCAAGATTGGATCTAACCAATTCACCCAGTCTTGTTTCTATGAGGGCTTTGATCTGTCTCCATGTACATTTGCTAATCAGAGCTCAGAGGTGGTGCTGGGCCCCTCATCTGTTGCAGATTGACCTAGAGCATGGAGGGAGACTTTTTAGCTCATTCCTAACAGGGTTGGGACCACATCATGGTCCAGTCCAACCTGCATTTGGGTTGTGTCCCAAGACTCTATCCCCTCTCCAGCATTCCTCTTGCTTTTCGCTTCCCTTAAGGAATAAATTGGGGGTCAGGGAGGAGAGAAGGGGGATCAAGAAGGGAAACCCAATTCCCCCTTTGAAAGTGGGTTCTTTGAACTATATGTTTGAGGGAAGTTCCTCTGGATACTAATTTGAATTTATATACCTCATGTTTTGGGGGTTTGACGTATATATATCCATATATATTTCATAATATTTGGAAGGTTTTTGATGCTAGAAAATTGAAACAAAAGAACCTTCAGAAATGGTACTTAAGTTAGAACCTGAAGCCAGGCTTTCCTGCGAACTGGCTCTGTAGCTCCTTGCTGTTTGCCCATAACCGTTTTGACGTCCGTGTGGCCAGTGGATTCCCCTGAGTGTCACCCAGTTCCTTGGGACATGCTGGTGCTGAGCCTTTCCTCATTCTTCAAATGGCTATCAAGATGCTAATTGGCTCCAGCAGAGGGAGCTCTGATAGGAGGAATTGTTCCTGACACCTTAGGTCCAGTTTCTCCCGTCAGCCGGCCGCCATCTTATCTCACCAGCGGACCAGGACATTGGACCTGAGTTCACTGCACCACAGGGCACAGTTTCCTGCCACAGTCGGGAGGAAACATATGAACTCAGTGGAAGGGACATCACTGCGGTGTTTAATATCACACCCCGTGCCCTCTGCCAGGCTACCGTGTAACAGAGATCATTGAAGAGCCTCACTGTAGACTTAGTACCATCTCCGCCTTCAGCAGGAGACCCGGGTCAAGTGTCTGCTGAGCTTCTCACCCACGGGGATCAGGAAACAGATTTGAGGGTCAGTGGGTAGAAACACACAGCTGTGGAGTAGGTGGGGAGAGGAAGAAAATACACTCTGACAACTGGCAGTGGTCAGCGGGGAGAGGCTGGTTTCCCTGCAGCAGGCAGAAGAAGGGATGGACGGGGAAGGGGACAGCTGAGCAAAGAAGGGAGAGGACTGCGAATGGACCAGGCAGGGTGCCAGGGGCAATACCACTTTGAGAGTGAGTCTTCATACTTCAAGACTTCCCTGTCTAGGATGCTGACTATGTCTGTGCCCCGGTTCTCTTCCTCTCTGAAGATGCTCCACAGGCGTGACCTCATCCTTATGCTGTTCTTCTGGGGGGCTTTCTAGGCAGAAGGGATCTTGAATCTCCTTTCTAACACTGTGCCAGGCAAGGCGGGGGCGTCCCTTTGCCCTTTCCCTGTGCCAGCCTGGAAAGGCACAGTCTCGGGCTCAGTGAGAACCCTGCAAGCAGGGGTCCTGAGCACCCGCCCCTCCAACATAGGATGTTTTCCCACCACTGCTGTTCCCGCTGTGTCTCCTGGCCTGCGAGGGGAATCCCATGCCTTTCCTTTCATGCACCAGCAGCCTACTTTCTCCCTTCCTGAGTCTCCAGGGATGACAAATGGGATTGAGGACAAACTCTGTCAGATGTGCATCCCTTAAAGGTTACTTGTGTATATGTGGTTGTGCGTGCCTTTGTGTTTCATACCCTTTCCTCTACCTTTTTTGTAAAACTTGGACTTCTCTGTGGTTTTACACTTGGTCAAAAGTACTCGTCCTGTTATTGCACTGTTGTGTGCATGAGAGGGTAGGGGGCAGGCCGCATGTAGTACAAGAAAGGGCCCTGTCCCCTTTTCTTGTCTGTGGTCACTGGCAATTGAGTGGGGGTTTTCTGGGAGAGGGAAGGCGAATGTCCTAATGTAAATCTTTGTAACTGGTGTGTTTTGAAGTCCTTGGTGTTGCTCTGTGAGAGGACATCGCCACCTGGTGCTCATGAGGTGTATGTGCAGAACAATAAATGGCAAGTGAACAACCACAAATTGCTGTTAACCTGCTTTTTGCAGATTAGGGCACCGAATTGTGAGGCATTTGGGGCACTTCCCCGACCTGTAAGCAACCACAAGCCCCAAGTTGGGGTGGGGGAATCCCTTTTCTCTTTTTCCCCCCCACATCTTTTCCACCCATACATTTGACCAAGGGACCCGGCTTGACTTCTTGTTCCTCTCAAGAACTAGACTGCACCGCCTCGGCTGGGGAAATGTAAGTGAATCTATGTGGGAAAGACCGCCTTAAAAAACACAGATGTTTCTTACAGTTCCCTCCACCTGACTACTATGTAGGGTATGTTTCAGTAATTTGCAGGCTGTTGTTTCTCAAATAAATAGTATTAATCCCTACACTAACACGAACACAAAATGCAAATGCAAAGCTGCCCTGATCACCCAAATGTGTCTCTATTTCTGAGAGTCTAGAGAGTGTTGTTTTCGCGAAGCTGGGGTTCATCTTCCCACAGAGCCCAGCCTGAGCTCCTGGGTCAAGACAGCAGAGCCTGTGAAATTCCCACTCTGGGTTCTGACTTTGCAAAATGACCAGAAAACTGCAAACGCCCGCATTTTCATTTCCTGTGGATGAGCAGTCAGACAGCGTGTTCCTTAAGTACACATTTTAATGCATACTTATGCATAATTTTGTTAGAAATGTAAGTTTGTGAAGAACTTTTATTTCAAATGGCAGTTAGCATTAAAAGTCCGAGAGCCCTTAGCTGTACTTTGTCTCTGACTCAGTCGTCTTCAAGGAATTCATGGGGGAATTTGCAAAGAAGTGGTTAGTTCAGCTGAAATTTACCCACAAAACCCCCAGAGGTTTAGGAGACTATTTTAATGCTTAAGCGGCAGAGTTCAGAGACGAGGTTGCAGAAATCAGTGTTGGCGGCTGGGCAGCCGGGGATGAGTGTGAGTGTGAGTGTGAAGGTGAGGGTGAGATGAACGAGTAGCCTCCTTCCCATCTTCCCACAGGCTGGGATGCTGCAGGCTTCTCAGAAGGATTTATGTAAGCCTAAACTCATGATTGTGAATGTTAACGAGGTGAGGACAGATTATCCTTCATAAAAATTAACTCATTCGTGGCATCTGATTCGGTGAAGAGACATGTAACTATTAAAAATGTTGTAGAGAAGGAGCGCCTGGCTGGCTCAGTGCGTAGAGCATGTGACGCTTGATCTCAAGGTTTGTGAGTTCAAGCCCCATGTTGGGAGTAGAATTTACTTAATAAAAAAAATTTTTTTTTTAATGTCGTGGAGAGGTATTAGTAGACTCACCTTAATCGTTACAATTCGGTGAGATTGGTATAAAAATTGGGCCAAACCTCCCCCTCAAAAAAAAAGAAAAAAGAAATAAATAAGTTGAGCAAAGCCCCAAATGCCAGGAAACACTCATGCATCCTGCTGGATGCCTGAGGGAGGTCAGCCTGGAACAGAAATAAATGTATCACAAATGGTGTTGGATGCCTTTTTTGTTTCATTTAAACACATAGATTTGATCATGTTAGCCTCTTTTCTGCTGGGGGAAAAAAAACAAAGGTAGGGTACATAATTGGTAGGTTCTGCTCTATTTTGTTTTAGGGAGGAAATAATACTTAGGTGTGGGTTTACTTTGTCTCCTGCCCCTAGAAAAATGCAGACTTCTTGTTGGAATGTGGTGTGTGGAGGGAGGGTGGGGATGTGTGTGCACACATGTGTTTGGGGTGTGTGTCTGTGTATGTTTGGGGGATGTGTTCAGGGGGTGCACACGTGTGTTTGGGGGTGTGTACATGTGATGCGAGGACAGAAAGGGGAAGGGCCCCTCATGGACGAAGCAGGGGTAGTACTCTGGTAACAGAGACCAGGAAACTGTAATGCTTGTTCTACCCCAATCTGCAGCTCCATAAGCCAGGGAGGTGGTTAAGGGTAACCAGTTTCCCCTGAGTGCCAGGATCTTGTCCAGTTCTCACCCTTTTTTTAACTTATGCCTTGTCTCCAAACCATCCCTTCTCCCTTGACCTCCTAATAGAAGATTATAAGTTAAAATATTTTTTTGAGGACTTTATGACACTTGTCTGAAGTCCAAAAGTGACCTGGTCTGAGTGAGTCAGGATTGTGGCTGGAAGGCTGGAAAACGTGGACTTAGTAGAGACAACATCTTGCTGTTCAGATGAGCTTGAGAGGACCCCGTCCATCAGTACAGAGCCCTCAACAGTGAAAATCAGTGGCCATGCGGGACTTCCCGTATCTTCTGGCGGAACTTTCAGCCTCCAGGAGCATGAACTCCAGAGAGATTTTTTAAAAAACAAAAGAGTAGGAGGGTAACACTTAGAAATTCTTACAGCTCATGAATTGGAAACCGTGGCCGATCTCAGATTAAATGCATGGTCTCCAAATCCAAAGGTCAACATGCTCCCCCTGTCTCTTTTCTCACGTATGTATTCAGGTGAAGATAATCAATGATGCACACAGAGAAAAGATACCCCCTTCATGTTTTAGCCCCCACGATGACTTTGGCTTAAAAAGTCATGTTGGCTCTCCTACCCCACCCCAACCCTGTCCACGCAGCTCTGTTCATTTTGTGGCCGGGAGCCCTAAGGAAGTCACAAAGTTATACCTGCTTTTTCTTGCACCTGCCACGCCAGTCCTCAGGAAGGCAGAAGTGAAGAGTGAAGGGATGAAAGGCATGCTTACAGAGACGAGAGAGACGTTTCTCCGGAGAGATTTAGGCTGGACTCTGCTCCTGCTCTTGGTCAGGGGCGCCCCCCGTCTTTGCAGAGCCCGCCGCCAAACTCTGCCTCTCGTCCTCCAATGCCTGGTAGCCCTTCTTCTTGTACTTCCGGGTGCCGTAGACGGCCAGGGCAATGGTGGCTGCCAGGACAGTGGTGACCCCCATTGTGACCCCAGCTGCTGCCCCTCCTGACAGACCACTGCCATCCCCGTGGATGACCCCCATGGCCCTGCGCAGCTCTAACGGCTCCCCCAGCCTCCACTGGTGGGTCTGGGAGTCTTTAATCCAGGAGCTCGACGTCTCGCTATTTGTCACAATGACAGTGTTGGTGGCAGCCTGACTCATGAGGGGTGGCCGGGTGTAAGGTGGGAGCCTGGCAGGGGGCAGAGCGCCTCCTGTGAAAAGCCCGGCCTTGACACAGTAGGACACTTGGCATCCATCACTGATGAGGGCTAGGTGTTGGCTGAAGCCCCCAGGACACTTTTTTAGAGAAGGTGCCCCTAAATCGTTGGCTATGGCAGAATTTACCAAGGGGTTTCCGACTGCACAGCTAAAGAACCCACCAAACGGGACGGAAAACCTATATCCCAACTCATAGTCCTGAGAGGCACATACCTTGAGGTTTTCAAAAAGTCTCAGTGGAAAATAGCCAGCCGGGCAGGACTGTGCGTTTGTCAAAGGGTTTATGCTCTTACCAGTGAAGAGGCCCCCGAAAAGCAGTCCTGAGTTTTCCGGTATTTGGCCATTCGCCACGCACCAAAAAGCCCTAAATTCAGCCTTTGCCACCCGGAACACATCTTCGCACACCGTCTTGCAGAAGATGAGGAGGGTGCATCTCCGTCGACACTCGAGGTGGTTGTAACCCTCCTCGTGGATCTGGGACAGCAGGTGGACTGGGGAGTAGCCAGAGGGGCAGGAGAAATCACCAGTGAGCGGATTCTTCTGCTCCAAGTTTTGGCAGAGCTGGGCAACCTCCTTCCCTGAGAGCTGGGTGCATTCCTGATAAACTCCTCCAAAGGAAAAATTAGTCATTTTCCCCTCGCAAGAGCCATCATCAGTGTTGGCCTGAAAATTGAAGTTGGGCGAGTTGACATCTGTGCATCCAGGGTAGGTGTTGAACGTGTAATAATGCCTCACGGCAGCCTCCACCGTGCGAGACAACTTCTTCACCAAGGGCCCTGGCAACTCAGGCAGCATGTCGGGGTTGATGAAGAAATGCAGAGGCAGGCCATCGCGGTCTATGGCCACCAGGTGGTTGGTGATGCTCTGCTGCCAGGCCTGGAGGGTGATGCCTGGGTAAAAAGGAACCCCTCCAATGCTTTGCACCCTGGAGTTGGTTCGGTTTGAGAGATAGCTCTTGGTGAGGACGCTCTGCGACGTGTAGTTCTCCTCAAATTTGTAGTTCACGACGTTCATGAAGGCAATCCCAGCGGATGCGGTCACAGCAGTGTGACTGCTCTGGCTGTCCTGTAAGAATGAGGATCTGATGTGGTCCTCCTGGATGAGAGCAGCTCCAGCATCCACACTGGTGATGACGTGGGTGCCATAGTTGAGGACCAGAAGCTCCGCCAGGTAGGTGGCCATCCGCGTCTGGTTGTTCTCCAGGCGGTCAGAGATGTCCATGAGCTCCTTCTTAAACCTCCAGCTTAGTTTTGAAGCTGAGTTGATTTTGACCGTGTAGATCAGGTTTCTTACCTGAACCCGGGTAGTTATAGCTTGGTCTTTCACTTGAAGGGTCTTCATCTTCTGGAAATCAGAGGAGAATTTGCCATTGACCTTGGAATAAAGGGAAAGCTCCAAGTTGATGGAGAAGGAGGTGCTGCTCTGGTAATTCACCCAGGACCCCAGGATTTCGGAGTTCATCTCTAGGTTGCTCTGTTTCTGGGCGATGCTGACGATTTCATCGGGGATGATGTACTGTCCATCCTCTGTGGTCCTGCAGCTCCTGTAAGTCAGGTCCATCACCCGTCCCATGTCCACATTCCGCAGGTTATCCCAGCCCCCTCCGGGTAAGACTTCTAGAACAGGTAGTTTTAAGGCATTCTTGCATTTTTGAAATCCAGCCTCATTTGTCTCTCCCAAAGGCTTGTCCGTTTTAGCCCACGCTACTACCGCCCAGAAGAGGATGGCACCCCCAAGGCCGTTCATGGCTCAGCCCCAACCACACGCCAGCCCTAAGTCGCAGCCAGCGAGCTTGGTGCAAACTGAACAGATGGGAAAGAAGGCAGCTGCTGAGACAAACACATACAACAGTTCTCCTCAAGCCACCAGTTCCTCTTTAGGCTAATCTC